ATAAAAAAAAAAAATGCTTGATCATTTCGGGTTGAAAACCGTTATGTTCTCGAGTGTTTATAATCTAACAGAACAACAGGACCAGCTCCTGATTTTCGCACAACCCATATTAAACCTTCCCAAGGTATATTCTAATCTGTTGCATACTGTATCTTTCAGTGAAAACGGACAATTAGGAACATAAATCGACACAGCCGTCGATCGCAAATTCTGCGATACGGTAATGGACATATGAAACATATATGGACAATTCAAAATGTCACGCGCCACGAATGTTACATCGATATATCTGATATGTATTACATCTAGTAGAGAGCCTAGCAGTTTTTGCGTGTTTCGGGTCACGTATTTAATCCGTTAGACATTACTTCAAACGACTGGCTCTTCGCGCGGAAAAATGTAAGTCTTCGGCCGCTGTTTGAACCTCGACCAAAACATATCCCCATGTTTTGGTCTAGGTCCAAACAAAAGAAAACGCGTTACCCACTGCATTTTCGAGCCAGGAAAATAACATTGCGCGCGGGAATATTTTTATTAATTAGGCGAATATCTGTTCAAAATTTTAAATTGGTATTTGTAACTAAGTGGTAGCTCTCTGGTTCTACGTTTCCTATAATCTTGCAGCAGCTTGTTATATATTATTGTAATTACTGCTGCACGTTCACGAATATCAGAGAAAAAAAGAATGGATAATAATAATAATAATGTATAATTTAATAATCTTCGGTTTCTTTGCGATACTTTAACCTTTATATAAGTACAATCGCGTTTTCGAAGGCTCTCTGTTTACGAGAATGTATGTTAAACCCAAATTGTCTAGCATTCCGTCAAACTAAAATGCCTGCCCATCTCTTGGGGCTATATATCCCGATGAGTATGCATTACGTGCAAGCCTGTTAAAGGACGAAGACAGCACATCAGCGCTGGTTAATAGCGGACTCAGGAAGATCTAAAGTCCCTCATCAGCTCCCTTCCAACGCAAGAAAAGCTAATAGCCAGTGTCGGGGAGAAGGGCCGGAAAGCGAGGAAGAGGTAATGAGCATCATGCAAACTTTTTACAACTCCCCACACGGAAATAGCTTCGTCCGAGGATCTTAGCAGTAGTCCATTAACCTTCGTTAGCTAATTTTATCACAAACCAACAATCACTCTGGCCATGTTTGCCCCTCTCCTCTTCAGTAAAGCAAACTACCGAACAAGCTGTCTGTTTAACCCGCGTTCTCAGCTCATTACCCTAAAAAATATAGTTGCCTTTCGCATCTTTTCACCTCTATAAGTCTGCCTGTATACGCGCCATCTATGAATTTCAAAGCTAGGGACGGCAATTCAAACTGTTATATATATAAATTATGTAGTCAAACAGGATTAAGCATTTTTGCAGTCGTTTTTTTGTACTACTAAATTACAAAAAAATACTAGTAAAAACCATTAAACTAAATTGCCGCGATTGCAACTGATAAATTTCCGCACTTTTCTGATAATTCTATCACTGTAGAAGTTCCGTCGTTTCTAGGCAAGAAGTTGCTACAGGCGATTTTGGTGTCCTCCCATTAAAACATGAAATCTTTGTCGGGTAGCTAAAAATTTACGTGGTCTGATAACAGCGTGGTGGAAGTTTCGGTCGATTCTGCCAACGCCTTGTTCCTTTCTAAGCCCATCAAACACGTAACTTCACTTGTTTTGTGTTAATGTGGGTATTGTCAGACCTTTTTTTTTTTTTTTTTTATAATTAATTGCACCTATTGCCATATGTAATCTATCCTTCATTATTCGTGATCGATCGATTTAAAGATGGCTCGACTTCGTAGCGTATCTATAGAGTTTTTTGCGGATGGAAATAGGGTCGTACAAATTTTTTTTTCGTCAGCCCGTAAGTTGGTCTAACTCCAGTATACTTTTGCGGTTCACTACAATATAAAGGAGCATCTCACATCATTCTCCTGGGTGTCCGGAAGTGACAGAGCAATCTTTGAGTTAATATATCTTGACTGTAGACGACAAAATTTTTTATAGGTTTCACTAGCATTTACGCTTTTATCGTAATACATTTTTTGCAGAAACTTCACCAAAGTTTCTAAATAAAGAGCTAACAATCATTTTAGTGCATCTTTTAATCAAAGCACACCAACGCTGAATAGACACGACTCATAATATGAATCAGACAATCCAGTATATCTATATAATAGAGACTTAATTTCTCGTTTATCATCAAAACTATATCTATATGTGCATATAT